ATTATAAACATAATATAATCGAAATAATTGATTTAACCCCGATACAACTAGCTTTTTAACTATATTCGATAAACTTTCGATGTATTTACAGTCGATTGGCTTTTTTTTATAAGTTCGTTAGCTGTCGACTGTATTCGAAATTTATGTATATTCGATAGGTTATATATCGATTCATTCGATGTTGGTTTAACTATCGATAACAATCTCATATTAATTGAATAAATGAAAAAATGTTTCCTTATAAGGAACAAAATTGATAATTGATTTAACCTCGATACAACTTGATTTTTAACTGCATTCGATAAACTTTCGATATATTTACAGTCGATTGGCTTTTTTTTTATAAATTCGTTAGCTGTCGACTATATTCGAAATTTGTGTATATTCGATAGATTATTTGATATTTGATTATCGATATATCGATTCATTCAATGTTGGTTTAACCATCGATAACAATCTCATATTAATTGAATAAATGAAAAAATGTTTCCTTATAAGGAACAAATTTATTTCTGGCATACGGTAAAGATTTGTAAATTTATCAAGAACACCTCAGACGATTGAGATTTATTGATGGCTTTTATGGGCCTTTTGCAAAATTGCGCAACTAACCGCAAGAAGTTAATTGCGACAATCGATAAAAGTCAAAAGGATCTGCTGTATTAATCGATGGCATTTATCGAGCATTTAAGCTGGCTTTAAAAGGACTGCCGAGTGCTTAATTGACAACAATTAATTTCGAGTAATGCGTACAACAATTGTTGATTGAATGCGGCGTCGAGTAGTTCGTGTTCCGATTCCGGAACTGCTGCAGTTCATTTATCAATGTCAATTTTAAAGCCAATTTTAAAATGTTGTGCCACAAAATTTAATAACATTGACTCCTTGCCACTTTGTTGTTCTCGTGCTGCCAGCAACTGTTGTTGTTGTTGTTCTTGTTGCATGAGCACGTGCTGTTTGTTTTGTTGTAGGGCATCCTTTACCCTCTCTCTCTCTCTCTTTACCCTCGCACTCTCCTTGTCCTTATCGTCAGCTCTAGTCGCTTGGCTGTGGTTCAAGAAACTCACAAGTGACACTTGCACGAAAGATAAATGCGAACGTAACTTTTGCCATCAAATGTTGCCAATCTATGCGCAACTCCTTCTGTGTCCTTCGTCCTGCATCCTGCTTCCTGCCACCTGCAGCGACTGTTCCTCTCTCTCTTTCTGCTAAGCCATGGCTGTGCCTTCGTTGAAGCCTCCTGCACAGCGACAATCCCTCAACCGGTTTGGCTGCATTTGGACTCTGGTCCCTTTACCTTTTCGTTCATGCAGCACTTGGGTCAGGCCAGGACAAGGACAGTCGTCCTTTTTGCCTCCCTGTTGCGCGTCAAGTGTTCGACAAAGGAGGAAGTCACATTTACTTACTGATTTATGGGCGCATCCGTTTTGCCAGCGTTTTATCTGTTAACTTTTCGGCGCAATCACCAAAAAATACTTTCAACCTGAACTCCCCATATTAGTTGCTCTGTGGTTATTTCCCCAGGCAATGGCCAGCAATGCCCGACAACGACTCGTTAATCAATGACACTACGTTTATCTTTAACGTCTGCCCATAAATTTCACACTACAAAATTGCAAATCTTTGACAGACAACACACACACGCACACACACAGCCACACCTCCGGCTACACCCCCAAAAATTTGTTTTGGGTAAAGGGATTTTCAGTTTAGTCAGCTATTTTCCCAGAGTTGGCATATTTAAAACTTGCCTTCAAACTTGTCAGTTAGGGTATTTAGCTGAGCAATTTATTGCAGTATTCGTAGAAATTTAAGTTGAGATTGGCTAAATTATATGAACGTGTTTTTATAGGAAAATAAGTTTAAATTGGTTTAAATGTGAATACCTATTTGATTATTTAAATTAATCGGTATATTCTTCTGTGTACAGCAAGAAAAAAAACTTTTTCTATAGATTTATGAAGCTATTTCATAGCTTTTCTTTATACAGATATCGTGACGAAAACTGAGTGAGTAAATTGTTGTTATTATTATCATTATTAATTTCATTGTTTTATTATTTATCAGGGTTCAATATGCAATATAGAACTTAAAAATATTATTATTTTTTAAAATAATGATTATTAATGGATAATATTATTCTTAATTTTATTATTATTATCATTAATTTTCTTATATGATTACTTATTGCTATTAGTATAATATAAAAATATGTATTCTCTTTGAATTTTAAGTAGGTGTATGAAAAAACTGGATATATTATTAAGCGAATTTTCAGTTTTCCATGTCTATCAAGGGCATTCAATCTTCTGCAATATTTTTCCTACCTTCTGCCTTACTAATTTGATTAAAAAGTAAGTTCAATTTGGCGAACTCCTCTCTACAGCACTCGAGTGCCAGTGCTCACATGGGTCTCAAAGGCAGACAGAAATTCATTTGCATTTGGCTAAATAATTTAGCAAATATATTTACCCCTTTGCTTGTTTCGAGTGGCCTCCGGATAGGTTGAAATTAAAGACAAACCGCCAGGGCTGGCAAACCGAACCGGAAGTGGTCCGAGCTAGGATTTCAATAATCATATTGTTATTTTTATGTGGCAAAAAGTTGAAAAAAGACTGCTTGGAGGGGTATATGGTTGTTTGTGGAGCATTTAAGATAAACATAATTTGTTGGAGCACAACAAATGAAGCTCTTCTCACTGTTTACCAGGCAATATTTTGATTTAATTTACCGTGTGATACGGTCGCCCGGGACCACGGGGCCCACAGGGCGTATACGCAATGAGTTCCAAGGGATTTTCTCGTTTGGTTTGCCGACTGCGTCGTCAGCCAGCTAATTAATATTAAATCCGTTCGGTTGAACGGCATTGAAATGCCAAAAGCAAACAGTTCGAGTTTGTCCAGCCTAAGCAGACCCCCCTCTCCCCCCCTCACGGGCCAAAGGCGTGACGGGTTAAGGTCGGGTGAGGGTCGGTTGATTTGTTTCTGTGCCATGTCGCGTTTTATTCAATGTGTGTAATTATTTTACGGCTGTGTAAGTTCTGGACATGGACATGAACTTGGCCAGGACGATTGCGTGCCAAAGTATTTAAGCCCATTATGGAGTGGGCGTGGCGGCTAGTACGTGCTCTGAATGTGCTCTAATGAGAGAGGCGTTGGAATAAATTTGTATTAAACGCATGTAGCCGACACATAATTCATATAAATTATATTTACTATTTAAATTTAAGTATTATATACATCGCTCTCACACACGCACACGCACACAAACACACACACACACACACAATTACATTCGCATTACGCATACGCCGCGTGTGCCCCAAATGACACACATGCGTAATTACAATTGATGCTGATTACTATGCAAATCACAGGCCGTACGAAAACTAATTAAAATGTTTATTAACTTTGCAATTATCGCACCTTTACCTACGTGATTTCAAACACTGAAGATAGATGTGCATTTGACAGTCAGTTGTCAACTTGTCAGACTCGAGTGTTAGTCAAATGGTTATTAACAACAATTTTGTGATATTTTTAATAATAATTATGCGTAATGTTACATGTAACTGTGTTTGTATTCCATATGAGCTATCAATTTGTTTAAATATTTCAAGTGACTGTTACATTTAAAGATATTAGAGAAAATAATAAAATATACATTCCTCAATCAGAGTCTAAAATATATGTTCCCTTTAAATTTGTTTATTCTTTTCGTAGTCAAGTACTTAATGCCATTAAATTATAATTATAATATCAATTTGAAAATATGTTAAAATACTCATGGCTCTTTAACATACTGTTCGGCTGCTGTTTGTGCATATTTAAATAAAATAATGCCAATTTGAATAGGGCTTAAAATATTGATGAACGAATATGTCGCATATGGCAGCATTCTAACAAAAGCTATTGTCTCATTTACATACTGAAAAAATAAACACAAATTACTAAAATGTAAATTTTCACTTTTAATAACTTCATTTTTATATAGGTAAACTTTTATTCCGATATATTGTATTCATTTTCGTAATCAATTTAATTTGGCTGACTTTATACTAAAACAGTTATCAAGTCTAGGGTCGACCTTTTAAATGTCATGCCAAAGGCAGAGGCGCAGCTGCCGCAACGCCTACCAAAACGCTCCGCTAATAGATAGGTGCGATCCTTGTGCCTTTCCAGCAGCTCCTTCGAGCCCGAAGGCGTTAAGTGGATATGCAGCAGCTCAGCCAGCAAGCCGCTTTCATGGCCCAAAGGCAGCGCCGCGTGCTCGCAGATCAGACGCAGCAGGCAGCTGTGTCCAGGCAGGCTCACGCTCTGTAAAACCATCTCAATGCCACGATAGAATATCTCGCGATAAACTGAACCCAAGTGAAATTCTTCTTTATTGCTGCTTCTGTACGTTATTGGCTCTGGCTTTAGATAGATGCGTGTAATCTCCGTCGCATTGTTGGACAGAAAGTACTGCATCCGGAGCGCATAGCCAGAGACAACAGACTCAATGGCGCAGAGAAAAAAGTTCTCTTCATCTAATATTTCAAATTAACAAACAAAATTTCTATATTTGTTCAGCTACCATCTTTAACCTAAAGCTAAGTATCAAACCAATTTGAGCAGTCAAATCGCGACAGGCATTTCAATATTTGGATATGGAATTATGGCTAATGTTTTAAGCATACATTAAAAGTGCGTATTGGTAGAATAGAAATCCACAATCCACTTAATTTTGGCTAGACAATATGTATTTGCTATAACTAATCTTTTGCTTGTATTTCTAAAGTTGGCCACAGACGCTGCTGTCTCTTATTATTTGTCATCTGTCATCGATAAATATATATTTTATTATTTGTTTTATAAGACTGTCTGATGTAAGGTGGCTCTTGATGATCTGTTTAGCTATAAGGAACTGCTGCCTCTGGGCTTATTGCCGATCCTTAACACCCTGCATTTGCAGGGTTCGATTTCATTTGAATACAAAATATATCACAATTCTATACAAATTTACCCGCTCTTAACTTACAGCAACACTGTAACCAGTTGCATGGGAGAACTTGGACATTTGCGGCCATAGGCAGCCGCACAGTTGGCGCCACGTTTGCCAAAACGTTCCGCCACCAAATACTCGCGATCGGTGTGCTGAGCATAGTGATCCGTGGAGCTGGAAGGAGTCAGGACAATGTGCAGCAGCTCAGCCAGCAAACCACTTTCGTGGCTCAGAGGCAGCGCCGCGTGCTCACAGATCACGCGCAGCAGGCAGCTGCGTCCCGGCAGATTCATGTTCTGTAAAACCATCTCGATGCCACGATAGATGACCCAGCGATACATGAAAGCCATGTTGGGTGGCTCTTCCATAGCTGCCATATTCTTTCTGGCCGTTATGGGCTGCGGCTTCATGTAGACTCTGGTGATCTCGTCCGCATTGGTGGGCAGAAAGTATTCCGTCTTCAGCACATAGCCCGAGGTGACCGACTCGAAATGCAAATCTTCCACTGGGATGCCGATGCCGCCAATGAACTGGACACGCGTCGGGGCGGTAGCTGGAAATATCAGCGATCTGCTGAAGCGTTTCAGGTGATCAACTTGATAGCTACTCAAGCTGCTGGCCAGTGTAAAGGCTGTCAAATAATAGCACACGAAAATTGCTCTCAACATGACAGCAGAGCCTCTATACGGTCCAAGATATAATGTAGAACTGAGCCATGTGAGGTATTCAAGAATTCTCACACCTGCCAGTTACTTTCTTTGCTTGCACAGTGGGGCGGGGAGAAGGTACTTAAATCAGTTCAATTAGCAACCACTTGACAGTTTGTGACTCGGTCAACCAGTCAAATCGTTGATCTACTTAAAAACCATTTCACTAAAACTCACAATAATGTGACAAAGGGTTTCATAAATGGGGTTTTGTAAGAGAATTAACATTGCATGTGTTAAACGTTCTCTATAAGAAAGAAATGGTAAATATGTTTTTTTGAAGCGTGTCTTTGTTTACCAAACTGAAAGTACAATATGATTGGAATTTTTATGGGATCAAAACAAGACAAAGCAGGCTTTAAGTATAACTAAATAGATTTGCAAAGGAAAAAAACTCTGTTGAAATATATAATTAGCTTTATTTGGTTACTAAATAAATTTAATCCAAGTATGATATTCCTTTATTTCTTTTGATATTCCTTTATTTCTTTCCCTTTATCCCAAAATTACCTATTGTTTACCGAACTGAAAGTACAATATTTATTGTGTACTTGATCATGATACGTCTAAAGCTAATGATTGGAATTTTTATGGGATCAAAACAAGACAAAGCAGGCTTTAAGTATAACTAAATAGATTTGCAAAGGCAAAAAACTCTGTTGAAATATATAATTAGCTTTATTTGGTTACTAAATAAATTTAATCAAAGTATGATATTCCTTTATTTCTTATGACATTCCTTTATTTCTTTCCCTTTATCCCAAAATTGTTTATTGTATTGTATATTGTATTGTATTTTGTTTACTGTATATTGTTTACCGAACTGAAAGTACAATATTTATTGTGTACTTGATCATGATACGTCTAAAGCTAATAATTGGAATTTTTATGGGATCAAAACAAGACTAAGCAGGCTTTAAGTATAATTAAATAGATTTGCGAAGGAAAAATAATTAAGCTGAAATATTTAATTAACTTTATTTAGTTACTAAATATATTTAATCCAAGTATGATATTCCTTTATTCCAAAATTATTATAGTTCAGCTATTTTCTTCACTTAACTCTAATATTTAATGGGATTTGTTGTAATTAATTATTATATAAATATGACATAAAATATTTTTAGCCTTGCAAGCTTGCAGCAAACAAGATCTATTTATATGCGCAAACTTTTGAGACTGACTGTCTCAAGAGGCTCGGCTTGAGCCAGCTTTTTTGTTCTGCTTTAAATTTTCAGGTGTTTTCGCTTGATTCGCGCAGATTTGCAGCTTCATGTGCTTAGCTGTTGCCAACTGTAAATAGGTCTTGCGACCCGTATTACAGCCAACAGTAACTCGACCCACACAATTACGTCTAGTCCCCGCCCCAACAGCCCCCCAATCTGCTCTCAATGGTTAAATAAAGCGTACAAATGCACGAGCCAAAGGATCTCGAAATGTATACATCTTGGAAATTGTATAAAATGTGTGCGAGCATTGGCATTAAAACACTAAGCGCCAAGCTCAGCGTGTGGGATGACTATACCGTCAGGATTCTACTCCTTTTTCTTTATTTTTATTTTATTTTTTTTGAGGATTGCAAAGGAGTGCAGAGAAGTGCGGAAGTTATGCCGACAACGACTTGAGTAAGTTAAGTGAATTGCTGTTGCATCAAGAAGTGCAAAGGAAATGCGCCACGAGGCAGGAATGGAACTGAGAATGGGGCAGAGATTAAAGAGCAGCATGGAATGGAAAGCGGAATACAAGAAAGCGTCCAGCTCTAGGACGACATAAGGACGACGCATAAAAATAGATGACGTTTAAGTGAACGGCGGTAAATGCATTTCTGCAGAGCCAACTTTCGACAGGACACAGAATATGTATGTAGATATAGGCGGCTATTTATTAAATAAGCGAAACAGAAGCTGTAATGCTGCACGGTCTTCATGAATCATCTTTGCGATGCACGTATAGAGGAAATCATAAAGAGACTTTTAAATGAAAACACTTAAAGGCTTTTCTTTAAAATACATATTTGTGTAAAAGCAGCGGAAATGAAAATTTAAAGTCTGATTGAAGATTATAAGTTGTTTTAATAGGTTTAAGCTAGCTCGTTTAGAGATATAAACATTTTATTTTTCTTTATTTTACCAACATAGAATAAACAAGTTGAAAGAAAAAGGAAAATCTTAGCAGGTTGTCTGCTGTTCTATTTTAAGAAGCCTACTTTAGAATCAAAGCTTGCTGTTGTCTGGTCAGTCAGGCGAAGCCAAAACTCGTTGTGAATTATAACGTCTTTAGCGAGAAAAGCGCACAAAGTTGCCGACTACTTTCTGTGCGTATTTAATTTTTTATTTTTTTTTATTGCTATGAAAGATGTATGAACATTATTTCTTCTATTAATTGATATCCTCAAAGATATCCTACATCAAATATTTAGATCAATAGGCCATTTGCTTGCCTAATTTATTTAAGTATTGTTCATAGCCAAATTATGTTCATCTAATTTTATATATCAGTAATCAGTATTTGCCCTAATTGGATGCATAAACAGGCAATGCGCCAAACTGAATGCCGAATGAAAATTCGCATATTTGTAATTCGGCAAACCAAAATTGGAGACCAACTTTGGCAAAAGCCGAGCAACAATATTGGACGAGGCGAAACTTTAGCTGCAGCACTTTGAACTTGGCTTGCAAGTGGCAAGTGGCAAGTGGCATGCGGCATGTGGAACATTTTATGTGGCCCTTTAGACTCCAAGAGTTTGCCGGCGGGCCAAAGTTTGCACAGTGGGCTCAGCTCGGCGTATGCAAATTGCAATTTGAATGGCATCCAAATGTCCAAAGGCAGCGAGTCCTGTCAAAATAACTAAAGACTCGGAAAGTTGACAAAATCAATTAAACTGCAAATGGGCAATTGCCGCAAAGTAATTGATGAGCCATTGACAGTTGTTGCAACAACAGCTTCAAAACTGCATCCAACTTGGGGCAAGACTAAGACAAGCGTGCTTTAGTTGGGTGTGCCCGACTAGAAGACGCCCTGCACGCAGCACCGAGCTGCTGTATCGACAAAGTATGAGGCTGAGCAAAGTACACAAGAGTTTCAATTTGATCAAATGTGAAGAGAGATCAAATATGAAGCTTAAGGTTTTATAGTTTCTGTGGTCGTGGATATATGATAAACTTAATACAATAAATGCCTGTTACATACATTTGAACAAAACCAGAATACCTTCCTGTTACCCCTATCGCTACAGGGTATAATGATGAAAACGTTTAAGAAACTGCAATACTCAAGCAGTTAAGGTTTAATGTGTGTGTGCAAAAGTGTCGTTGTGTGTGTGCGTGTGTGTGTGTGTGCGTGTGGGTGTGTGAGTGTGTGCCTAGCCGCATCTTGACCTCATAGTTGCCTTTAGAATTGCCACTTGCTGGCACATATGAGGCATAAATCCTTTTGCAACGTCTGGCAAATAAATGTATCTTGTGCACATTTAGTTGGAGTGGAAGATGTTGATTAGGGGAAGAGAGCAGATACTGGGGGTTAGTTGCAATTCTACGAAATGTAATGAGTTAAATTATTATGCAAACGAAGTCTCTGTGAATGTGCACACACGTAAACAAAACACTTAGAAATGTGTGCCGGGGACAAGCAGCACAGGCAACTTATGCAGAAGACGATGATGATTCAGATGATTAAGATGATGATGATAATGTGGCTGTTGATGATTTTGATGAAGCAGCAGCTGTTGCACTTAGGGCAAGTGTCCTTTAAAGCACTCGCAATGCCGACAACGAGCACCTTATAACATTTCCTCACTCAACCCCCGCCTCAGACCCCCCGCCTGCCAACAACCACCTACCTCCATTCAAAGCAACCCCAAACAATGCCTTGCACGCATATTATTCATGGCATTCTGCATCATATAATTGGGTTGCTTCACATTTCAAAGCACATGAAAAGTTGAATGATATTAAAGACCGATTCGATTGACTGTTTGATTGCGTCGAGATGCAGGTGGGCAGGTGGGCAGCCGTTCAAATGATGGGCATTGACAAAAAAGCCAATTTGCGGAGAAATATACAATGTGAAATTTCTATTGACAAAATGTTGTCAAGCATCAACAAACACTGTAGTTGGCCCATTAAACTGAGAACTTATACATTGCTTAGAGGAAATTGAGGACATTGTGATGTATAATTGGCAATTGAAGATTCATTCTATTCTAGCTGGTCAACTTAGAGGGCACTCAATAAATTGGAAACAAGCTAATGGACTGCAGGCGAAAAACTATATTTAAAGATTTGTAGGAATAGTTTGAAGCGGATAGATTGTCGCTGCTACTTTCGATAAAGTATGCGGGTCTGCTCGACTTTAAACCTTCCAACCTTACAAATTATAATTGATTTGTATTTATTGTACTTTTTAAACCTATTTTGTAAAACATGACCATAGTTAAATGACTCTGAATTTGAAAATATTCCGGCAAAAACAAAAAGTATGTGGCTACAGGGTATAATATCCTGTTAAGTACAGGGTATATACATTGAAATTTGAAACCTCGTTTGTGCAGACTTAATGGACTTGCCACTGGCAAGCACCCGACTAGATTAAGCCCGGCATTAGCACCAGCTCCTTGACCTCAAGAGCCTGAAGCCATGGCAAACGCATTTGAGAGCTCATTAATTATGTAGTCGATTGTCAGGCATTCATGTGGCTAAGCCTGATAAATGCAACACTTTCATCAACCAAAAGAATACTCAGCCGACTTATGTATGTATTTAAATATATAATATATTAAATATAAAAGCAATTAAGCCGGCGACATTCAAAATGCGAGGCATGCATATAAATATATATCTACACCCGAACAAAAATGCGCTTCAAAGTTCAAGAATTAGTTGAATATAATTCCTGTCGTTTTTAATATTCAAGTACATTTCGCTTAAATTAAGTAATTTCAAAATGAAAATGATTCAAAAAACCATTTAAATAAATATTCTCAAAAGCCATATAATTA